ATAATTTTCATGTTTATAACTAAAATTTTAAGGAGACTGAAAATTGTGTGTCTATGAATATGTGTTGATTAAAATATAACTAATTTTTTTTCAGATAAAGTTTGGAATTTTCCAAAGTGTTATATTTCTACTACACTTTTACTTTTAAGATCACACATGATATTTGAGCTTATGTGTACATAAATCCAATAAAATAAACGTGTACCAAATGGGACAATCATGGGCGTTGGTCAAATTCTGGGCATTTTTATTATTAATTATGCAATCTTGTGCAAGACATAGTCTCCCTAAACCTCAATTTCCTTTTGTAAAAAAGGATCAATAATAAATGCTTAGCAGGGCTGTTTTAAAAATCTAGTGGAGTGGTGTGTGTGTGCAGTGCTTGGCACACAGCAGGTGCTCAAACGTGGCAGTTATGGTGGCAGCAACTTATTTCTCAGTTCTAAGTCCAAGTTCTTCCAACCACTTGCTCAGTGATCTTAGTTATGCCTCTTTAGTCTTAGGTGCAGGATGTCGAGATGGCCCCAGATGGTCTCTAAATCCCTTGCAGGATTAGTAATTTGTTTCTAATACACTGTGGATCTACATTTGAAGTGCAGTCAAGTATGACCAGGCAACCTGAAGAGATGCAGAAGTTGGACTTGGTTGACTTTAACTGTAGCCACGTTCATGAGCACCTGCCATCTGGCACTCTTCTAAGCTTTTTCCAAGTATTAACACATTTAATCCTGATGGCAACTCTGTGATTAGGCCATGATTAGTATCCCATTTTACAGATGAGACAACTGAGGCTCAGTGAGGTATGTATCCTGCCTAAGGTCACACAGTAAGTGGTAGAGCCAGGATTCAAACCAAAATAATCTGCAGTTTTAACCACAATGCTTTATAGCTTTTCTGAGGGGGTTGGCCTCTCTGACACTAATTTAAACAGGGGTGATTCCAGCACTTGCTAATTTTTATTTTTCTTCCTAAGCCTAGATCATCCTCTCATGACATGTTTGTTAGAGGATGACAGCTTTACAAAGATCTAGAGCCACAGCCACTTTCAGTGTCTTGATGCTAGGTTCTTGCTTTCTTCCAAACTAGCCTCTGAAGTCAGACAGCTGTGGGTTCCATCCCTACATTACCTGAACTATGTAACTTTGGCAATGCTATTTACCGCCCCCCCCCAGCCTCAGTTTACCAGTCCACAATAGAGTGTATAAGTAGAAATATTATTGATAGCATCTCATAAATGTGAGAATGAGAGGAAATATAGGGTAAAACGTATGCAGGAGGCATTAAGTAAGCAGGATCAGGCTTGGTTCCATTCTTTGGGACCAACTCCAAATGGAGTCATTGAGCTGAAGACCAGCTGTTTCAGCTCTACCTTGTTCTGCATTCTGAAATGGGGTGCTGTCCCCAGGGTCTCTGTTATTACTTCCTGTCTAGGGATTCCAGAAACCCAGAAGCTGCTCATTCATACGGACAAGTTTGCAGTTCATGCTCCAAGGCTGTAAAGCTGCTGGGAATGTGAGGGTCTCAGCAGCTTAGGCTGAGTACTCGCAGACTCCTGGCTCTATATTTCATAGTGTGGGGAAGGAGGAGGGAACGTTTCCCATCTTAACTGGAAATTCTATGCAGAGCTTGATGTCATCCTTTCATTCCTTTTCAAACTTTCTCTTTCAAAAGTTCTACCTTTCTGAATAACATTATTTTACAAAGCGGAAAAAAAGACCCTTCAAGTCTTGCCCTAAGTTCTCCATTCTGTTTCCAACTCCCTTTTCTTGCTCCTCTTCTTTTGCTTCTTAATAAAGTTTCCTTATGCATAACACCATCTCGTCACACTGTGAATCTCTAAGAGTCACGAAGACATTGTGGAAAGGACAGTAATTATTCTGAAGTTTAATATAGCCAGAGACAAGACCTGACAAAGCCGTAGTTCCTTGGAGGACAGGATCCTGTCATGGAGGACCTTACAGTGAATGTTTACGTGGTGCCATTTGTGTCCCAGTGCCTTTGAGTAGGCTCTCGGTTCTCTGGGTCTTAGATCTTCCTCCCCTATTCTTTATCACAACCTTGATTAGAGATTAGACTTATACACCCACTTCTCCCAGCCCTCCTTACCCAAGCAGAAAAACTCAAAGGGCATTAAACTTTGTCATTACGCAAGGTGCAATTTCTTTGGCTTCCCTTTTGAATACTTAATCCCTTGAAGTCAGAATTTGGTGATAATTGTCCTTTTAGCCATCACCCTTCTAACACTGGTGGACCACGCTGTACCAGAACTGGTGGCTGGCATGACTGGACACAATGAAGGGTGGGGAATGGAGGGAGAGGGGTATATCTTCAGGTTGAGATTTTTCATTTCGATGGGAATGGTTGACCGAGTTGGTGAATGAGGATCAGTGATGCACCCAGCTCCATTCTCTGCTGTCCTCTGTCCTGCCCTCTCCTCAAAGGTCTGATTCCTGAGGATTCCATCACACTGGTTCCCTCTGCAAAGTACTTGCCATGGAAGGCACTGGCAGGAGGTCAGAAGGTAGAAAGAGAGAGTACCCACGTATCTCTGTCCTTGCGCCTCTCTGCTCAGCTTCGTGTCTCTGGCAGCGGATGAGTCACTATAGTTCCCCCTGCAGCTCCTCTGTCACCCCAGGTCTCAGTGAACTTGTTGACACTGTTATATTACTTGACCCTTCTGCCCAAGGTCGGTAAGGGCTCACCTTTGTTGTCATTCTCTTGGTGTCTCAGCATTCAATAACTCCACTGCCTAGAAGTCTCCAAGTAGTTTCTTTACTTAAAATTTTTTTTTTAATTTGAACAATTTGAGTTAAGTTCTATTTTCTACCAGGACCCTAACCAATATGCATATGCCCACACAGCAAGTGTTACAGGTAGAGATTTTCAATAGATGTATTTCCCCAAGAAATGCCCTTCTCCCTTAGTCTCTTCCAGTTCTGTATTACTGACCAACTAGCCTGGTATTAAGAAATGTGCAGAGCTTTGACCTCTGACCTAAGAGGCTGTTTGAGTCCTCCTTCTGTGTGCTTCTGGAAGAATCACTTGTTTTCTCTCAACAGAGACTCAGTTTCCACAGTAAGACGAAAAGTTAACTAGATCAGTAAAGGCTTAGCTAGTCTATGGGGGTTCTTAAGATTCTTCCAGGAATTTGTGCAATCGAAATTATTTTGACGATAATACCAAGAAGTTCTTTACCTCTCTTCGCTTGTTGACATTTGCACTAATGTGCAAAAGTAATGGTGGGTAAAAGTGAACATTACCATGAACAAGGCGGTGGCACCAAACTCTACTTAGAGTCATTGTATTCTTTACTGTTACACACTTAAATTCTTTAAATACTAATTTCACTTAAGAATATCCTTGATGGAGCAGTAAATTTATTAATTTTATTAAACATCGGCCCTTTGGTACATGGTTTGTCATTCTAATTTTTTTTTTTTTATTCTGGGTGATAAGTGAGAACTTCACTCCAGGCATTATGCTGAAAGAGAAGAGGTGTCAGTTTTAAGAAAAAGTCGTTATGTGATTGTTCGACTTGCAAAGTGTGCTAGTTGCTTTGCCCATGGAGCACTATTTTTATGTGAAAGATTAATTGACAAACTATGGTTATTAAGACTGAGATATTTGGCAGATACTTTCTCAAAAATGAACAAAGTGAGGCTGTCTCTTCAAAGAAAACAACTGACAGTATTTGCTGACAATGATAAAATTTGAGCCTTCAAGCTTCATAGCTTCCCCCAATTTAAAGACTTTTCTGATGAGATCAGTCATGATATTAACAAAGTTATTTGTTATTATATAATGAAATGTGTCAACATCAGAACCACCTTCATAACTCAGTTGGATAAAGCAAAGACCTTATTCCTAAAAGTAGGTGTTTTGGATGAGGTCAGAATACCTTGGCTTGAATCCAGGGTCTGCCATTTACTTTTGACTTCAGCTCCACTGTCTCATCTATAAGATGAGTTTTCTCCATTTCTGAAAAATGGGTAAAATAGCTACCAGAGTTGTGAAAGAACTGAATACATAATATATTGTAGTAAGTATTAACATAAATTCATTAGTTAATATATAGGTTGATATAAAATAAGTATTTGGCATGTGGCAACTATCATGCAAGTACTTTCTATCCTCCTCATCATCATTTTAAGTAAAAGGACAGAGACATCACTTCTCTATATAGTCTTCAGGGATGCTGCCAGGTTCAGATCCTAGCACCACTTACTAGTTATGATCTTGGGCAAGTGATTTAGCAATATGATTACATAAAATGCATTTGAATATACTAACTAATAATTATGAGGAATAAATTAGATGATGCATGTCAGATTCTAAGCTCAGGACCCGATACATTAGGTTAATTCACCTAGACTAATAATAGGGAATTCAAGAAATTTTTTTTAAATTATATAAAATCATATCACAATATGATTGCATTAAACCTTTCAGAGGGATTCACAAATTTTTGTGACACTTTCAAACTGTCAGAGTGGGAAATGGCTCTCTGAAGAAATCAAAAGCTCTGGTTTGTAGCCCCTGCCTATTTCTGTGGTGTAAATATCCCACCACAGCCAGTTTCAGGCTGTCAACAGGAGTTCACAGAACATGGAGTTAAGAAGAAATTCTCAAAATCGTCCCTTATGAGCCAATATGAGCCAGCTCCAGCACACCCTTGCTTTCAAGTATCCTTCTGAAGCAGAATTAGTCAATAAGCCTCATCTCAAGATTCTGTTCAGCAGGAGGTAAAAGGAGGTCATACAAGAGCAGGAGAATCAAATGAACCCAAGTTTCTGGTGACTTTGGAAATAATTTTTAAAGTCATTGTGATTTCTCATTAAATCACTCAGAACTTAACTCATGTCTGTACCTACAAAAGCAAACCAAAATTAAAAATTCTCTATGCATTTTTAATAGTAGGAAAGGTTTTCATGGAATGAAAGCTTGTGAAGCAAGAATTAGGTTATGACACAATTTAGTCAGAAAAAAAATCTAAGACACAATTCGTATAATTTCATTTATTAAAGAAGAAAACTTTCTTTCCAATATATTCTGTCCAACTGTGAAATTCATTTTAAATGTTTGGAAAGAGCAAATCTAACTTTTAAACAAAACTGCTGGCCAGTTAAAATACTCTGGTTTCCAAGTTTAAAAAATCAGGCAAGATTATACAGTGAGAGCAGAGAAAACAGATGAAGTGAATCACCCATGACAATCTGTCACATTAGCTCTTGTGCATTTCAACATCTGCAACTTAAAAGCCACAGAAGTCAAAAGATAAAAACAAAAACCGATTCCCAAGGACCACCTACTGTTTGATGATATTGCTAGAAGGTTTCGCCTTCTGTCTACTTCATGTAAAAAATAAATTAGGTATAAATAAGGAGGTGAGGAGAGCTGTCACGTATTCAGGTGTGTTCAGAGGTGTGTAGTGTACTCCAAGCGGCAGGAAAAGTGGGGGGGGGATGCCTCTCCTCTCCAACACTCACTACACGAAACTCTCCTCCATGTTGCTACAGAGTAAGAAGGAGTCCACAAGCCGGGGCTGGACCAGCTGCTGGAAGTCAGAGTCCTGCAGGCCTTCAGGGCAGACCCCAGCCAACCTACGCAGGGCAGCCTGGGGAGGAGACAGATGACAAAGGTCAGACAGGGCCCTGGTCAGGGCATGTATTTCCTTCAGCTGTCCTGAGAGATGTGTTTCAGGAAGTGGCACATTTAAAAGACAATCAGAGCTGATCATCTTGGCCATCTTGCACCTAGTGAGCATTTTGTAACTTGGTCACCATAATGTCCTTATCACATGATCACCTGGTTTCATTTATACCTTGGACACTAAGGAAGATGTCACCTTAAAAACTCAATGATCTCTAGACGCAGTGGCACAAAGCTGCAATCTCAGCTGTTTGGGAGCCTGAGGCAGGAGGATCGCAAGTTCGGGGCCAGCCTCAGCAAAAGCGAGCCACTGAGCAACTCAGTGAGAAATTGTCTCTAAATAAATTACAAAATAGTGCTGGTGATGTGGCTCAGGGGCTGAGTATCCCTGAATTCAATCCTCCCTACACACACCCCCTCAAAAAAAAAAAAAACCCTCAGTGATCTTAATAGTCTTGTTATCTTGGTTTTTCTTTTCTTTTCTTTTGGTCCTGGGGATTGAACTCAGGGGTGTTTAACCACTGAGCAATATCCCCAAGCCCTCTTTTATTTTTTATTTTGAGAAAGGATCTTGCTAAGTTGCTTAGGGCCTCATTAAGTTGCTGTCCTTAAACTTGTGATCCTCCTACCTCAGCCTCCCAAGCCACTGAGATTACAGGCATGCTCCGCTGCTTGACTCATCTTGGTTTTTCAATCATTTTAGGAAACTTGTTATTTTAAAGAACTGTCATTTTAAAGACCTGGGCTACTTAGCGGCATATGTAAGTTAAAAATGTGTTCTTTCTAGAGACTAGAACTGTTAGCAGCATCAATGGAATTATATTATTGCTTCCAGATCCCTAGAGCAATCTTACAATAACAAGGATTATTTATTTACCCGTAAATGCAGCAAGGTCTTATACAAAACACTACGGGGGAGGGGGGGTGGGGCTGGGGCTCAGCAGTTAAACATCCCTGTGTTCAATCCCCAGGACCTAGCATGGGTGAGGTTTGATCCTTAGCATCACATAAAAAAAAATAAATAAAGTTATAAAAATATATTTTTAAAAAAAAGTTTTTGGTTTTTTTTTAAAAAAACACTATGGAATGGAAAGAAAGAGGGAAGAGAGGGAAAACATAGAGTCAAAGTCAACATAGATTCTGCCACTGAGAAATAAATTCAAGTCTAGAAAGAGAGGTGAAAGTCCCCCCACCCTCACTGACCACTGGATATGAGATTCCACTTGATGTACATGTGCCCTTGCTCATGCTCTTCTGTGACACCAAGTCCCTCCCACTCTTTCAAAGCCAGCAGATACATCCATTCTTGTCACTTCCCCTGGGAAGCCTTCTCTGATTACCTTGAAGCAGAGACATTCTGCCTTCCTCCCTACACTCTGAGCCCCTTTGCTGACCTCAACCCTCTCATACTTAATCAGAACTGGTTTTTAGGTGTTTATCTCCCACATTAGACTCTGAGTTCCTCAAGGATAGGGATCTTGTTTTATATTTCTCTGCTACAGCAGGCAGCCCAGGGTTGACACCTGTTTGATAACCAGAATTAAACAAATGAGGTGCTTTAAAACCAGCCTGAAACATTGCTGAGAAATCAGGCCAAGAGAATGAACAGGGAGGATGATTTGAGCTGGTCTGGGGGGGCCACAGATGTTGTCAAGTTCAAGCCAGATGATGCACAGTGTCTAAGTAACAAGTGACAGGAAGTAAACTCCCCAAACTACTGAGTCCTGCCTCTCCTGGCATCTGACCCACCCCAAGGGCTAAAGAGGCTAAACTCCATAGAACTTTCTGATTCCTCTTGGCTCCAACTGAGAGAAATATCCCATTGTCCCTAGGATGTGGAAACAGAACCAGGGAGTGTTCTGCAGACGAGGCTATGAGGCCAAACAGGCATTTTGCATCTTCAGAGTTAAGAATAAAGTAGAGCAGAGGGAGACAGAAAGAAAGAGAGAAAAGGGACACATCAGTAGAGCACATCAGTGAGCACAGTAGACAGAGAGAATAAAAAATAGAAACAGATCAAGAAGGAGACACCAGGATGGGGACACGGAGATGAACCTGGTGAAGGGAGAGGGAGGGGGCTGCAAGGGTGATGGAGAGAGAAAGAAATAGTGACAGAGAGAAAGGGAGACCTTGGAGGTGATGAGGCAGGAGGTAAAGAGGCAGAGAGGAAAGAGAAGGAGTGGAGAGGGGGAGAGAGGGATGGGGATAAAAAGAAGGGAAGGACTGAAGAAAGAGAATGCTAGGAAAGGAGGCAACCCTAGAGAGGGGAGGAAAGGAAAAAACAAACCAAGACTCAGACAGAAAACAGGCACCCACATCTCCCAGGGTCCCCAGAAAGCGTACAGGACGTGAACCCCATGCAATGCAGCATCCAGCACCCTCAGAAGACCCTACACCCTTCCAAGCCTTTCTCTCAGCCTCTGCCTTCCCAGGAGGGTTAACAGCCAGTCATCACAGAGGCTTAGTCCCAGGCAGCCTGAGAACACCTAAGTATCAACACAAGCCCGGCAGCCCGCTGACAGCCGCTTCATTAGGGAAAAATCAATTCTACTTGTGAGAGGTGATCTGCGCTGTCACTTTCCCAGACACAGGAAACAATCACTGAAATTCACTCCCTCCACTTGAAGACAGCCTTCGAAAGTGGAATTAAGGCCAGGGTAAGAGCAGGAAAAGTAGCTCCCGACTCCATCTTCCAGGATGGGATCCAAGTGGACCCATTTCCAGCCAGGGACCATACTCCTAGGTTGGAACCCTTATGGAGTCGAGCCACTGAGGCCCTCAAACACGGGCGGCTGGGAAAGGAAGGAGGAAAAGTCTCCCAGTCTGTAAGTCAGACAAGAAGCAGTCACCAAACTCGTGGTCCTGTGGAAACACAAAGAGCTAGGAAAAGAAGACCACTTTCCCAAGAAGGTTCCAGACTAGAAGGGGGTAGGAAAACAAACCCTCCCCTATGAGTCAACTGTGAGACCAGGACCATGAGAGAGCAGGAAAGAAAGTTGGAGACAAGATGGTCTGATAAAAAAAAAGCCAAGGTCTCCAGAGTCAAACAGATCTTTGTTTGAATTCCAGGAGCCTGGAACACAACCTGCCTGAGGCAGGAAAGACAAAATCCAAGAGGGGAGGCCCAGGTATATACTGTGTGCTTCCTGCCCCTCCCACCACAGAGGGCCCCTGGGAAGGTTCACAGAGGAAAGGGATGTAGATCTGAGCCTTGGAGGATGAACAGGATTTCAACAAACAGTTATAGACCAGGCATCGGCTTGGGGCACAGGCCAGGGCACAGTTCAGGTACAGGGCCTAGAGACAGTGGGAAGCCTTCAGGCCCTGGGGCTGAGTAGGTGGACAGTAGCCCTTAGATAGCAGGGAGCCACAGAATCCATGGGGGCTTCATGGGAGTGTCATGATTGTAAGCTGTCATTAGGAAAATTAACTCAGCAGGGATGGCTTAGGGAGAAGGGGCTCCACCATCTCCATCATCCACAAGAACAAATGGAATCCCTTTTCTTCTTGAAAGTCCCTTGATTGATTAAAGATAGTGGCCAAACCCTTTTGGGTGCCCTCCTTCAAACCAATAGTAAAAATGGCCATGGAAATGGTAACAAGCCCCACCGTCCAGAAGGCGCTTAAAGGCTTCCAAGTACTTTCAATGCTCCTCACATTTCCTTGGGCCTCTTCAGTGGAGCAGTCGAGATTGTGGTAGTCGGAGCTAACGGTGTTTGCCAGCTATTAATTTTTACTTGCTAGATCACGCAAACTTAAGAGGGCCTATGAACTTGGATGAGAGGTACATCTTCATTTTCACAAACCTCTAACTGAAACTTAGAGCAACAAACCATAAAGTATTATGGATTGTGAAGATACCTTCCAATATCACTTATAGCTATTGCTAGTCAACATCCCAGTACTCATTATACCCATTGCTAGAGAATATTTACTGTATTAATTAAAAAACGTGTACTACTATGTTACATGCTGAAATATTTTAATAATCATCTTAATATAATTGAGTTTCTTTTTAATTCTGTATATTTTATCATATACACTTAAAACACTGTTCTGAGAATAATATTCACCAGATTGCCAAAGGCACAGAAAGCATTAATATTACCCTATATGTCCCAGAATAAGAGCCACAGGAGAACAGAGACTTTTTTTTTTTATTCCACGGATATATCCCCAAGGCCTAAAAGAGTAAATGGCACACAGAATTATTCAGTAAATGTTTATTGAGTAAAATACATAGCACTTTGACTTACTCAATGTCACACAGCTTATTAACGGGGAGACCAGGACAGGTCTGCCTAATTGCAAAGCCCACTGTTTCTACAGTTACACAAGGCCCATCTGCAGCTTCCAGAAATGAGCTGGGCTCAGTAAAAAAAATGACAGGGTGAGGAGAAGGCTTTACTAGGACTATGACTCAGCTTGAAAGAGCCTTCAGATCATTGTTTCTCCTGTGTGTTCACTAAGGACCAAACATCTGGCACCTTCCTCTGGAGGTCAGTGCCCCTGTTTATACAATGGCTTCCCTGCGCAGGATGCTTCAATTGGAAGCTACTGTGCCCTGGGATTCATTATAGCCCCACTGAGGGAAGAGTACACACAAACCATGCACACACTTCCCTCTGCCACTGCTGATGCTATTATGGTGGGCCCCTACCTCCCCAACCCCAGATAAACACCATCAGTAAGTTGGGTGGGAATCTCCCAGAATATATTGCTCAGGTTCAAGGTGAAGATACTAGCGACTGGCTGAATGGTCCTCGCTGTCCTGTTAGGTTCCCTCTCGTCCTATCCCACAAAGAAGGAGGGAGCCACAGGGTTGGTAAAGCCCAGCAGAGGGGAAAAGAAGACTTTTCTCATAGTGGCCACTTGGGAACATGCAGGAGACATCCATATCCTGGCTCCCATGTGCTGCAGACACCATGACATTACCACCACCCAGCCTCCTGCCAGCCCACCACTCTGGTTTTGATCTGCCATTAAGATTTCCCTCAGTCTAGCTATTGTGAATTGTGCTGCTATGAACATCGATGTAGCAGTGTCCCTGTAGTATGCTCTTTTAAGGTCTTCAGGGAATAGTCCAAGAAGGGCAACAGCTGGGTCAGATGGTGGTTCCATTCCCAGCTTTCCCAGGAATCTCCATACTGCTTTCCAAATTGGCCGCACCAATTTGCAGTCCCACCAGCAATGTACAAGTGTACCATTTTCCCCACATCCTCGCCAGCACTTGTTGTTGTTTGACTTCATAATGGCTGCCAATCTTACTGGAGTGAGATGGTATCTTAGGGTGGTTTTGATTTGCATTTCTCTGACTGCTAGAGATGGTGAGCATTTTTTCATGTACTTGTTGATTGATTGTATGTCCTCCTCTGAGAAGTGTCTGTTCAGGTTCTTGGCCCATTTGTTGAATGGGTTATTTGTTTTCTTATTACTTAATTTTTTGAGTTCTTTGTATACTCTGGATATTAGGGCTCTATCTGAAGTGTGAGGAGTAAAGATTTGTTCCCAGGAGGTAGGCTCCCTATTTACCTCTCTTATTGTTTCTCTTGCTGAGAAAAAACTTTTTAGTTTGAGTAAGTCCCATTTGTTGATTCTTGTTTTTAACTCTTGTGCTATGGGTGTCCTATTAAGGAATTTGGAGCCTGACCCCACAATATGTAGATCGGAGCCGACTTTTTCTAGCTAGACTGTGGAACCAACTTAGATGCCCTTCAATAGATGAATGGATTAAAAAATGTGGCATTTATACACAATGGAGTATTATGCAGCACTAAAAAATGAGAAAATCATGGAATTTGCAGGGAAATGGATGGCATTAGAAAAGATTATGCTAAATGAAGCTAGCCAATCCCTAAAAAACAAATGCCAAATGTCTTCTTTGATATAAGGAGAGCAACTAAAAACAGAGCAGGGAGGAAGAGCATGAGAAAAAGATTAACATTAAACAGGGAAGAGAGGTGGGAGGGAAAGGGAGAGAGAAGGGAAATTGCATGGAAATAGAAGGAGACCCTCATTGTTATACAAAATTACATATAAGAGGATGTGAGGGGAAAGGGAAAAAAATCAAGGGAGAGAAATGAATTACAGTAGATGGGGTAGAGAGAGGAGATGGGAGGGGAGGGGAGGGGGGATAGTAGAGGATAGGAAAGGCAGCAGAATACAACAGTCACTAGTATGGCAATATGTAAATCAATGGATGTGTAACAGATGTGATTCTGCAATCTGTATACAGGGTAAAAATGGGAGTTCATAACCCACTTGAATCAAATGTATGAAATACGATATGTCAAGAGCTTTGTAATGTTTTGAACAACCAATAAAAAAAAAAAAGATTTCCCTCAAAGGTTACTAAAATAGAGGTGGCGGGACAGCCCATGTCTTTCACATATATGAGATCATATAATTTTCATCACAATTTTTCATTAAGAAAAATAAGTATTACAATTATAACTCTTTTAAGAGAAGAGCTAAAGCCCAGAGAGGTTTGAAGCTTAGCTGAACCAAGTGCGGTATAGCCAGCTCTCCCCACCTCCAGTCTGCAAGCCGGGGAAGGCTGAGAACTCACCAGGCAGGCCACCAGCACGGCATCACTGCTGTTCCTCTCTGATGGGGATCTGCAAAGCTCGATGAGACGCGACATACCTGCATGAGACCCAGGGAGATCCTCATGTCCTGGACAGGGAGGTCCAGCCAGGCTGATCCAGAGGTGCTGGCCCTGCCTCACACACAGGGCCCCCCCTATCCCCTAATCTGCCAAGGAGGGGACTGAACCCACCTGGAGGAGAGCGTGGTGGAGACTTTCTACTTCAGCTATGAACAGACCCTGATTAGGGGCAGCAAGAGCTGAAACATCAAAGTCAAACTCCCAAGGGCCAGGACACTGGCCAAGACTGAGCTTAGTTAAAATGCAGTGGAGGCATTACCCATCACTCTGAGAAAGGACTTCCAGCCCATGTACTTCTGGTTTTACCAGAACTGTTTAACATTTATGTCGGTGCCAGAGGAACTTCCCAGCTAAACTTCCCCCACCCCAATGCCTGTTTTAGTCAGAAAATGTATTGCAGTTAAAATTACCAAAAACTAAAGACTCTACTAATGTTTCCCAGAGCTTTCCTGAGGAAAGGTTAGCGCCAGCTGAAGACTCACCTCCCTGTTCAAACATTCTTTGACCTCCCACCCCCCCCCCCAGATAAACATGGTCTACTTCTCATGCCTGAAAATTATGCTTTGAAGTATCGCTCTTAGGATACTCCAATGCAGATTTTTTTTCCATATTGGTCACCCCCATGAGGCTGTAAGCCTGAGGTCAGGACAGCAAGGAACTAGCAATGACTGGGTGATTTCATGAGTGAACTAATGAATGAGTTAATGGCAAATAAGTGAATTAACAAATCTGCTAATGATGGAATGAATTAATGAGTAAATAAACAAATGAGTGGATAAGTAAATAAATGAGTAAAAAATAACTGCATAAGTGAATAAATAAGTGAATGAATGAGTGACTGAAAGATTGGGGTCCTAATTAACAAGGTGTCTGCAGGAGAGTGACTGTTCTGGCTAACTTTTGCCTTTTTAATTCTTTCTTCTTCTTTCTTTAGCCCCAAATTATAAACTAGACTACAAGGCAATATCCCAGGCCTCTAGCATATCCCAGCAGCCAGAGAGAGGAGCTCACCCCAGCTAGTCCTTGCCTTGAATCCACTGAAGCCACCATGAAATCAGGGCTGTTCCCATCCCCAAGTCCCCCTCTCCACTCTGGCCACAACCAGCAACACTCACAGCTGAGCCTCACGGCTTCCCGGGCCACATCTGGGTCTCGGCTGAGACGGGCCAGGGTCACTGCAGCTTTCTGCTGTACTCTCTCGCAGGCTGCCACCTCAGCTGGGGTCCCAGATCTTGGCTTCTCTGACAGCATGCCCATGATGAGCTGGACTCCTGGGAAGGAAGTAATAAACAGTTGGTACCCACCTCCAGCACAGGGCCTTTCCCATGGGACCAGCTGGACTGATTTCTACAGGGCTCAAGCACAGGCTGTCAAAGCACTTACAGGGTCTCAACCAGAAGGCGTGCACCACACATAACCACCTCTTTCCTTTTCCTATCCTACAGGGGTGTGCCTTGTTCTGTGTACCAAGTCACTGTACTGGGAAGGAGCATTTGGAGGACATCCTTATTATTTTTTTTTTAATGCTATTACTGAGCTTTTACGACATGGCACTGTGCTAAGTACACAGTAAATGGGTGATCTCCTAAAACATCCCAATAGCCTCATGAACTAGGTACTATTAATTCCACACTGAGGTCCAGAGAGAGGGGATACATCTTGCCCAGAGTCACACATTGGGTCCTTGGGGGAGGGGTACTGGAATTCAGACAAGTTTCCATCTAACACCTCTTGGCCTCGGAGGCTGGCATTTGAAACAGTTCCAGAGGTTACAAGTCCCCTGGTAGCTAACCCAAGTGTAGGCTGGATAATCACTAGATCAAATATTTTACAGCAGTTCAAACACTGGAAGAAGGTGGAATAGTGAGAACGTGAGATTTTAGTCTGCCCCAAATCCTCCCACTTTCCCTGAACCAACCAAACCTGCCTTTTGAATGTTCTGCCCACATCCACTCCCACCTGGAGCCTTTGCCCACCCTGTCTTTCTACAGAGGATGCCCATTTCCCTTTTATTGTCTAATAGCTCACATCCTGTGGGTCTGTGTCCAAATCTACCTTCTTTGTGAGCCATTTCCCAACTGCCTCAGCCTGCACCCACATTCCATAAAAATCTAGATTTTTTAATTATTTCTAAAGAATTATCTCCTTTTTAAATTTTTTAAAATATTTTTATTTGTTCTTTTTGGATATACATGAAAGTAGAGTGTATTTTGGCATATTATACATACATGGAGTACAATTAATTCAAATTAGGATTCCATTCTTGTGGTTGTACATGATGTGGAGTTTCATGTAGTATATTCATTATGAACATAGGAAAGTTATGTCTGATTCATTCTACTGTCTTTCCTATTCCCACTAAACTCCCAACATTTGTGCATGGCAAGAAGCCTATTAGAAATTCACTCTTTTAGATGAGACGGATCGGTCCCTGGTGAGTCCACTTCATCCATTTTTTTTTTTTTTTTTTTTTTGTTAATTGTCTGGACCCTGTAAATGTCCTGTAGCTTAGATCATGGGCTCTCAGAGCCCAGACTGTGCATACTCTCTAGCATGCTTCCTGGGAAATCTCACATCATCCCTATCAGGCAGATATTATTATTGTTCCATTTTGTAGGTGGAAAGGCAGAGAAGCCAAACCATTATCATAACCGAGTTCAAATCCATACAGTACAGTTCCAGTTCTCCTACTGTCAGGCAATATGTCAGCCCTGCTCCGGGGCATCACCTCAATGTGGAATTAACAGTACCTAGTTCATGAGGCACCCCTACCATGTAATCACTTTTGTCAAGGCAGAACATCCTTCTGGATTGGGAGACCCTCTAGGACAAAGGCAGTAACCTATTTAACAGTTTTAATTGTCCACCACAATGCCAGGCACATAGTAGGTCTTAATAACCGGGGACCAAACAAGCCAAGCACTTTGAAAACCATAAAACCCTCTACAGATGCCAGATATTCCAAGCTCAAGTACACAGGCCTGCGGGGCCCACTCTCATTGGCCACTTGAGCATAAGACTAAGTGCTGGAGGCTGCGGGCACAAATGACACCACGCAGCCTCTCCTCTTGGCCTCAGCTGGCTCAGCACAGTTTCTCATTATTAGCTCAATCACAGAAAATTAACACAAAATGATGTCTTTCAATTAGTATTAGAGCAGTGGGGGGTGGGGAAGTGTATGTTTGGAAAGACGGCAGGGCAGCCTGCTCAAAGGGGGATCACAGGAGCAGCCGCAGCCAGCCCAGGTTCCCAGCTCACTCTGCCTCATTAGCGTCTCTGGTCTCCAACTGTCTGCTAATTGCTCCCTTATTTCCCAGTCACAGGAAACCCTTGCCACACCACTCCCTGCTCCCAGCTGCAAGGCATCCACTTTGTCCTCTGGCAGAGACTGACTAGATCAGCTCCCACGCTGAGGACCTGGCCTCACCTCACCTGGACCTTGCTGAAGCCCTCAGTTCAATGTGGAACAGGGGGCAAATGAAGAAGAGATGCAGTGGAGCATTAAGAGATGCAGACAGACCACCCTCTGACTCACCCCTTCTACACCCTTCTTTGGAAACCAAATCAAATGAGATAGGGACAATTTTAAGTTGGAATGCATGCCTTGGTAGGAGTACATTTTTACTTTGTGAATCATAATGAAATATCTGCTTTCTCCTCACCACTTTAGTTGAAATGACAACCGCCATCATGACCCCGATTCTGAGACCATTTGCTCCCTTCCCTGCTTTTTTTCACTCATGGCGCTATCACCACCTGGTATTCTCTATTTTCTCCTTCATTGACTCTCTCCAGGTAGAATTTTAAGCCCATTATTACAGGCTGCATATGAAGTGTCCCCTAAAAGCACAAGGGTAAGACCATGCAGGAATGTTCAGAGGTGAAATGATTAGATTATGTGAGCTGTAACCTAAACAGTGGATTAATCCACTTGATAGAGTAATAATTTGAAAAGACTACTGTACTGGGCAATAACTATAGGCAGGTAGGGTATGACTAGAAGATGTATGACACTAGGGGTGTGCCTTTGGGGTTTATATTTTATACCTGGTGACCCCCCAACCCCTGCCTTCTGGCCACCATGAACTGAGCAGTGTCCCTTAACCATGCCCTTCCACCATGATGTTCTGCCTCACCTCAGGCCCAGAGCAATGGAACTGGCCAACCATGGACTGAGCCTTTAAAATTGTGAGCTCGAATTAAACATCTTCCTCCTCTGAATGTGATTGTCAGGTATTTTGATCACATTGACAAAAAGTTAACACATCTATGAAGGTGATCAAGTACTTATATATTGGCCTAGTTTTACATAGAAGCACACCTACACACACTCCCACAAACGTGGAGACGTGTATGTATTTATGTAGCTACATATAGGAAGGCATTCACATAACATAAAGGCATGTGGCCCTGTATACCCAGGTAATTCATACAACATGGGCACTGCTGACCAGACATACCATTCTCCTGAACAATGTCAGAAGCACACTGCTCCAGAACAGACATGTTTGCCAAAATGGTCACGATCTGAAAAAGAGAATGGAGAAACTAAGAAAACAGTCACACAAGATTCCAATGATGCTCTCCATAGACAGGGCAGCTAGGGCTACAGAGTGTCCCTGCAGCCCAGGACTCCTTACTATTCACCCCACCCCATCCTTCCATGGTATTTTCTTCCCTCATCATGAGCCCTGCCACTCAGGTACAGTCCCCCAGTGAAAATGCCCATTCACCAGCATATGGCTCTGGGATGGTCCCCAAGGACCCTGGGACCCCAAACAAAGAGAACAGCATCACCCTGAGTGAAGCTGGGACCCAGATGTCTTCCTGCAGAGCCTCTCTGGACCCAGGTCCTACAATACAGATAGACCGGACAGGTCACCGGACTCTCTGTTTCCTCTGAACTGGCTTGTCCTCCTACATTTCCCCCTACCCTGGATTAGGTTCCCCCATCTCTCTTTCCTTGGTTCTGACCCCCACCTACCTTTAATATGAAATGAATGAAGGCTAAGGTCAAGGTAGAGAGCATTCATGTGAAGAGGCAGCACTACACCCCAAACATCATGTATTACAAGGAATTGAATGAGAACTTTCGTAGTCAGCCACACTTTATAAGTTTCACTTGTTGGTCATCATTGAAGGACAAGGTCTTCAGTAATGGGTCATGGATATTAGGCAGACAGCAAGGTTTGGTTACAACCTCATGAGCTGTAACCCACCCCACTGCCTCACATAGTCAAGGGAGCTCAGTCAACTCACAGCACAAAAGTGGATTAAGAAATGGGCCAGCAAAGGGCTCCATACTGTATAAGGTGCCAGAACACCACTGGAATTTATTGAAAATGTGCTACCTGTTGAAAGAGACCACCTGTAACAATGCTCCTGAAATAAGCAGCAAAATGAAAATTCACCCTCCTTCACAGGAGCAGATAGCATCTCAAACTGTAATTTTAAAAATAACAGATTTTAAAATATTCCTTGTGGGTATAGGCCTACTCTCCTGAATGCCCCTTCAAAGCCTCAGGCACAGTATAAGCAAATGCCATGCCTCCACCTCTGAGACAGCAATTGACAATCTCCAGAGGACAGTTCAGGCAGCTTAAATTCTGAAACTATATAGCGATTAGATGTTTACCAAGAAAGTATTACCTAGACTTTAAATGGTCTACTATTGGCACATTGCTCTAGAAAATAAAGCATGCAAAAATCTCTTAAACAGATTTTTTTAACAGGGAAAAGCTTGCCATATTCATAGAACATCTCCCCTTTCTCCTCTAGACATGTGTTGAAAAGGGACACCACATCGGTTACACATCCACATTTTTACATAATGCCATATTAGTAACGGTTGTATTCTGCTACCTTTCCTATCCTCTACTATCCCCCCTCCCCTCCCCTCCCATCTTCTCTCTCTACCCCATCTGCTGTAATTTAATTCTCTCCCTTGTTTTTTCTTTTCCCTTTCCCCTCACTGTATTTGGGGTAAAAATGGGAGTTCATGACCCACTTGAATCTAATGTATGAAATATGATATGTCAAGAGCTTTGTAATGTTTTGAACAACCAATAAAAAAAAAAAAGAAAAAGAAAAGGGACACCACATGCTGAGGTTGCTTCAGCATCCCTGTGTTGTGTATCAGCCCTTTCCAACTCATGCCTGGGCAGGTCTGGGTGGAGAAGCATGACTGGGGTGGAGACACAGGAGAATGTCCCAAAACCTTCATGTGAAGCCAACTCGGCCACACCCAGTGTTTTATCAAGGAAGTGACAAGCGAATGTTTGCATTTTAGAAAGATAGTAGAAGAAAAGGAGGCTTCATACTTGAAAGTTCTTTTTTCTTCTTTCAGAGCTATAAGTGTTAATGGATTGAGTGGAAGGAGTTTGAGGAAAAAGACGAGTTAAAGATGCAGTCAAAAAGCGGAAGGTTTCCCAAGATGCATAAAGTGCACAGGCTTAAGAGGGAGGAGCTACAAGTCCTTGCACTTCATCTGGTTTCTCTGAGCATAGCTTCTCTTAGCACCAAAGAGGCTGCTGCACTCCAAGCACCTCCAGCCTGGGCTCTCAGAGATCCTTGCTTGACATGCAGATTCGTGACATAAGAAAGGAAGAAAAAAGGGAAGGAAAGAAGGAAGGAAGGAAGGAAGGAAGGGGAAAGGAAAAAAGAAAAAAAAAACCTTTGTCTGAAGCAGCAGGTTCATACATAGCAATTATCCTCTGTGTCAAAGGCACCAGGTAGGTCTTTGTGTCAGACTAATTTAGATCCCGTTAATGAAAATTACTTCCTCTTTACAGAGTCTGTACCCCATGTGGTTTTCTGAGGTGCAGATGAAGTATTCAATTAAGAACAATTTGAATAAATGCCAATTATGCCCTGCTTTGAGTCTCCCTTTTGAAACATCCTTGTATGCGCTGTGATGTGGATGGGAAAGAGGTCACTGGCTCTCCTTGCAATCAAGCCCACACCTGGGATTTTAGGGACAACTGGTTTACCTGGTGGGATACAAGCTAGCAATGCCGTGGGGGGACAGAATACAGGAGCCAGGCAGACAGCTTCCCCTGGCCCAGGCTCATTCAGTCCAATCTGATGGTGTTCAATTAAGTCCTATTTCTCCACACAATCCTATTTCTCCTGTTCCCTCTATAGTTATTTGGTGAACACAGCATGACCCTTGAGAGAGACCCTAGAGAGAGGCAGCATGGTTGAGTGACTAAGTGCCTGGATCAGCCCAGGTTCAAATCCTGGCTCCATCACTTATTTTCCATATGATCTTAGCCATGTTACTTAAATTTCTGTACTTTAGTTAATGAAAATGTATGAGCTTCTTATTGGTGCTATAACAAATGGCTATAATCCTAGTGGCTTTGAAACAACACAGTTTTATTATCTTATAATTTTGGAGGTCAGCAGTCCTAAATGGGTTTCAAGGCGCTAATATCTAGGTATTGATATCTCTGCATTCTTCCCAGAGGCTCTAGAAGAGGATCCATTTCCTTACCTTCCAGTTTGCAAGGCCTGCTCACATTCCTTGCCTCCTAGCACTGCATTACTCTGACTCTGCTCCCCTGATCATTTGTTCTCTCTGATCCTCCTGCCTGCCTCTTACAAGAATCCATGTGATTACATTGGGCCCATCTATATAACATTCCTATATCAAAATCCTTAATGAGTTACCTTGTACAAAAAGCCTTTTGCCATGTAAAGTAACTTACTCATAAGTTTTTGAGATTAGGACATGGGTATCTTTGAGCGTAGGGGGCAGAATTACTTGGCATACCACAGGAGATGAAAAAAAGTATGTTAAACAATTGTAATGAGCATTCAATGGGCTAATGTTTCATCATGCACCCAGAACATTTGTGAAATAAAATGATAATAATCTGCCTCTGGATAACCAAGCCTGGAAGGTCCTAGCATTGAGATACAGGGTTAAGGAGAACAAACCAATATAACACCAGTGCATACGGGGCTGAGCACAGGTTTGCCAAGAGTGAATAGGAGATCACTACCAAAGGGAAGAAATGCCTTAGAGCTGGAGGAACCCTTCAGACCAGAGGAACAACCAATATCATACTCACTACCATCTGTTGGTCCCAAGCTGTTAATAAACTAGGCAAAGCACTCTTCTGAAGAGGCCCAGTAAGCCTCACAGCACTAGAGAGCACGTATATCCAAGACCATATCCTTGGTGCTTGCTTTGCCCTTGACTTAAAGGGAGGGGTTTCTGGAGCAGATCAGGATTGGATATTATGATCCTGGGTCCTCCCAACCCCAAACCTCTTTGGATTTGTCAATAAACAGCATGTATCTTCATGTGCTGATAAAAATATCCACCTCTTTAAGTGACTTACAGTCCTTATCACCCCTCACACACTTTGTATATGCCCATGCACAGGTGGAAGCAACACAGGCCACATGCTAATTCACACATTAACATTCCACACCACATTAACTACATTTTCAGACCCTGCCTTCCTGTTCCAAAGCTGACATTCCCTGTCTCAGACCCACATCAATCAGTTCTACTACATATCCATGAGCCTTTTATTATTGAGCATCTACTTTGATTGTAAGCATCTCAGGAGCATTATTCCATCTAATCATAATAATGACATGAGGAAGGAGAAAATGTTATGGTCCCCATTACACAGACAAGGATTGTAGCTCAGAGAAGTTAATTGCTTTGTTTTGAGGCTACATTGGAAATAGCAGAGCCAGAATTTGAAATCAGGCCTGCCTGAACCCAAAACTTGTGCTGGGTTCATATGTCATACATGTACATGACAGAGCTTTATAAACTATAGAGGACTTTTGAGATGTCAGTCAAAATTACAGCTCCTAATAACTGGCATTTCTGATAAATGGACTCCTAATGAATGATATTCAATAAGGTCCCTGAAATGTTAAAAACATCTGTTCATTTAAAATTTCTATGGGAAGTGGAATGTCCACTACCTCTCTGAAAGCAATGTCCAAAGATCACAAAAAGTCATGCTCAGTAAAAGTCTCTTGTTGTCGATTAGATGAAACAGCCAGTCCTTTGCAATCTCAATTGTCACTGTTCAATGGGCAGAGCCTGGAGGCAGCCCCTTTCTCACCCCTGTCAAGTCTGAAGATGGATTACCTGGGCAGGACAGGCCCTGGGAAATACCACCTGGGATTAAAAAAAAATCACTTGTTAGGATGCTCTTCTTGATACCTGATCATATCCAGTTGCAGCCCACACAGCCCTCCTCTAGATTAGCAGAAGGGGGTGTAAGAATCCTGTCCCAAGGCCCCTCACCACTGTCCACACCCTGAGGGTGGGTACAGGATAGGCATGGGCAGCAAAGCTTCTGTTGGGTAAATGAAGTGGACTCAGCTTGCTGGGATGATGGATGGGTTCTCAGTGTCCAAACAGAGATGGACAAAGCCTAGATCCAAGAGCAACAGGCTCAGCACAGCATTGGCATCATCCGAAGATTCATTACTGGAAGCCTCGAGGGGCATTTAATCTCCTAAGTATTTCAGAGGATGGTGAACACTTCAGAGCCTAATTCATCTTCTTTGTCTTCATTACAGAGAGTCCTCTGATCACCTTAATCCTCCCTCTGCCACAGGAAAGAGCCATTTGTTTCTTTAATGGGTGTGCTCTCACTAGCTAAGTGGTTGCTCAGAGCCAGGGCAGAAGGTGAAGCCATCCCGAGGACAGTGGGTGACGTTCCTGGCTCAGTGAGGAGGACAGAGAAAACTCCCAATTCTAGATGCAGAGAGAACTGATATTTGCCTAAAGCTTATCCACATCCTACTCTGAGCCCTCTCCTTCCCAAGAATCACCGAGGCTTCAAGAGGTGGCCGGCCACTCCTGGTGACTGAAGGGGGTCTCAGAACCAAGCTGGAAGAGGCATGCCCATTTTACAGATAAGGCCACTCCTTTCTGGAGGTTCCCACTCCTTGCTGTGTGCCAATAGTATCAATAATGCTGACAGTGGCTTCCATTCATTTAATAGCTTCTATGTGCCAGGATCTGTACCAAGAATTGTATTCATTAGTTTAATTCTTGTTTCAACTTTGCAAAGCACGTATTATCTATTCCCATTTTACAAATGAAGAAAAGCAGACTTAACTGCACAAAGTGATTATTAATAGCAGACAAGCTTTAAGCCCAGGTTATCTGACTCCAAAATCCCTATTCTTATTGCCTCATTACTGGATCTTGTATGAAACGAACAGAGTTAGCCACAGGAGAGGCATTTGAAGGTGAACGGATATTTTGTCATGTTAGATTGGTGCAATTGTGGGTATGTAGATTAAGAAAAGAATATAAGGCCGGGCACGGTGGCACACACCTGTAATCCCAGCAGCTTGGGAGGCTGAGGTAGGAGAATTACGAGTTCAAAGCCAGTCTCAGCAAAAGTAAGGCACTAAATAGCTCAGTGAGACCCTGTCTCTAAATACAATACAAAATATGGCTGGGGATGTGGCTCAGTGGTTGAGTGCCCCTGAGTTCAAGCCTGGTAACCCCCCCCCGCCGCCTCCCGCCAAAAAAAAAAAAAGAATATAAGGAAGATTACGTGGGGTGGACCCTCCAGCCTCTTCCCCATTCCAAGGGCTGTGACTACAATAGACACTGGCTAACACCCCCATCAGGAGACAGGATGGCTGCTCCTCAGCTGTTCACACTAGCACACCTTGTCTCTATGGGGGATTGTCCAACTCTAAGAAATAATAAATAGGACTGGAAAGGAAGTCTGGAACCATATCATGAATGGCTTGGAAGGCCCAGTTGAGGATTTTGGATAATTCACTACTGGCACTTCTTCTTGGAGCACCAGGTTTGAAAAACAATGATATTCACTGTTTTTTAAGAACTTATTAGGAGCTATAGCAGGTCATTAGGTCCTAACATGTATTATCTCTCATGTACAAATTTTCTTTGGGAGTTTCTGTGGAAGCTTCCCTTCCACAGGTAATTCTGAGAGTAGGAAACAATGGGTCAAGTGCCATCTGGGTTCTTCTCTTCATCCCGCAAGCATTTTAGGAACTTCACCAAGGGTGAGTAGAGGACCTAAGAAATCCTGGAGACGTACAGAATAGGGCCCATGGCCTCAGGGTGAAATTTTCACATGAAATAATTCAAGTAGGATGAATACTATTAGACAAGTCATCACTGCATTGTGAGGTATGAACTCTAAGAAAAGAAGGTCATTCCAGGGAGCTAAAAGTTCCAGGGAAACTTCCATGGAGATGCCTGGGTAGGAGTTAGAACACAAAGCTAAATCTGCTTTAGCTAAGAGATAAGGCTGGAAGAACCAGATGGGGACGAGGGACAATAATGACAGGGATGAGCTGGGCTGGGAGTTAGGGGATCATTTAACTTAGAGTTCAGGTACCTGAAAAAATTCACAGAGACCTGAAATCCATCCTGATCCACTCACCCCGCCCCTTGGTGGGGAAAGAGCAGGCCAAGCATGAACCAAGGTAGAATGCGATAAAATTCCAGAACATCAAAGCTCAAACAGGCTTTGGAAGTTCCTCATTCAATGTCCTCTAACACTTTTAGTAGTAAAACTCTTATTTCCCCAAACAAAGACCTACCTGAAGTTCAAATATATAAAACTACCTGTCACAGATGTAGAGGTTGAGGCTCAGAATCAAAGTTTGCCCCAAGCCTCTGTGTTTGTGTTCCTATTTTTTTGGTGTGTGTGTGTGTGTGTGTGTGTGTGTGTGTGTGTGTAAGCAAAGAAACAATTCACTGCAGGGTACAATGTCAGATGGGCATTAATATAACTGGGACACAGACTTTAAGAGGAGGTCAAGGGGACCTGCCCATGGATCTCTCTGCCTCTCCAGGGTATACAGTCTGAATGGCACAGAGGAAGGCCTTGGAGTCGTTGGATGGACAAAGTGGGAAGTTCATACAGAGGCTTCAAGGTCAATGAAAAAAGGTGGAGAACCTGTTCATCTTCCCTCCCACAGAATGCAAAGCTCGAAGTTCCAGAAGAAGGCATTAACAGGACTGACCATGTACTGTTAGGCCATGCCATCCTCCCAACCCCGGAAACTGAGCACTGAGGGCCTTCTACCCTCCATCCACGTGGTGACAGCCCCTGGGCCTAGTCCTACCCAAGCCTCTCACCTGGTCCCGGGTGTAGGGCGTGTCCACTCTTTGCTTGTCACGGCAGGCTTCCAGGAGGACCCGGATGGCATTCAGCTGCAGAAGCATCTCACAGGCCATCGTATCAAAGAAGGTAATGTTGGCAAGGGCCGCAGAGGCCAGCAGGAAGACTTCCCCAGACGAGGCCTCTTGGCACAGTTCTGGATGGCAAAGAGGAAGGAAAAGTTTCCATGCTGAGCGTTTTCATCTCAGTTACCTCACGTGGTTCTCACAATACCTCTGGGAGATAATTTGTGTGGGTGTTGTAATACCCATTTTTACAGATGAGGAAAGGAGCTACTAGAGGAAATGTCTCTGTCTGCATAGGTGGCAGGGCTGGGACTGGAACAGTGGTGTGTGACTCTGATTTATTCATTCACCAAGTATTACTGAGGGAAGACTGTGTCAGACACCACTGGTGAGTTGGGATAGCCTGATGCCAGATCACATCCTTGGCTCAGCTTACTCTACCAGTGGGTCAGAAAAAAAGAATTTTAAAAAATTAATATAACTAATTGCAAATTCTGAAAAACATGAGGGAGAAAATGAATGAGTGCTAAGACAGAAAATAAGTAGGATCCCCTGGAATACATAAGGAAAATGTCCCTAAGAAGGTGACTTCACAGCTGAGACCTTAAAGGAGGAAAGGGGCCAGTCATGAAAATATTTGGAGGAAAAGAACGTTCTAGACCAGACGAAAACAGGTACAAAGGTCGTGAAGCAGGAAAGAACTTCCAGCCCATTAGTGTCTTCAGTAATGTAAATAAAACTGCTGCTAAATTTGCCTTAAAGAAGAGACCAAAGTTAAAACACAGAGACTCTACCTCTCTGGCTGCCATTAGCAGAGCTATATTATTTCCTTTTGGTCCCCAGAAAAGGGTCCTCTGGTTGCAGGTAAGTCCTACACTGAGCTCCCGAATGTCAGGTTCTTTCTCTCTGATCCTAGTGACCATAGCCATGCTCTAACCAAATGCCCCCACTTACCATTGTAATTGCACTAAGGGTTTCTAAGAGGAACTGTGCCTGTCCCTCATCATCTGGCACATCCCCCCATGGGCTCCACAGAACCTGAAATCATCGCTCCTATGGCAGGAGGAGGCAGCAAAGGGCTCTGTCCATGGTGCTGCCCATCCCAACGGCCCTGACTCCTGAACCACAACTCCAACTTGATTACTAATCAAGGTGCTTTAGCCCAGGACCTCTACAACTAATAATACTTCCATAAAACCACAGGGGGAAAGACCACACTTCAAGAAAATATCCCCAGGAGAGGAAGAAAGTTCAGCAGTCAGAGTTGAGCTATCTTACATCATGGCCCCTAGTTCTTGCTTCCAGACAGAGTCTATGCTGCCAGGTTCTGACATCATAAATAACATCACCTCTTGTCACCTTCCAGTGAAATCAGGACTACCCCAAAAGGGACAGATAACAGCATTAGTCAAACATCCGTGGTGCACTTAAGTTCTGAGCACCCTCAAGGTAGACAATGGTTGTCCCTGTTTATGGATGTGGAAGATGAGTGTCAGAGAAGCTAGCAGTGCTATTACCATTTATACAGTGTTGCGAAGTTGTAAAACTGCTATACGGCTTGTACATCATTAAATCATTGAATCCTTATAGCAATCTAATTTTTTATGGTATTGGGGATTGAATCCAGGGGCACTTTAACACTGACTACATCCTTAGCATTTTTTTTTTTTGGAGACAAGGTCTCACTCATGCTGAAGGTCTTGCTAAGTTGCTGAGGCTGGCCTTGAACTTCCAATCCTCCTGCCACAGCCTCCAGAGTCACTGGAGTGCTATATAGGACTATGCTATCACACCCAGCAACAATCCAGTTTTTATTATAAATTCTATAAATGAAATTCTATAAATGGTTTGCCTGACGTCTTCTGGATAGTAAGTAATGGTCAGAGGCGAGGATCAAATGCACATCTGTGATCCAACCCCTTCAGGCTCACCTCCAGGCCTTGGTGGAGCCTACAGAAATCAACTGGCCAACTTTGCTGCAAGATTTCTTCTAGGTCCAAACACTCCCCTTCATCCTCATGCAGTGGCCATTACTGCCAACACAGCAATTACTAACACAACTGTCTAAGTGCCTTTTAATTTTGCTGCACACTTATTTGAACTACAGTCTGAGTCACCTGGGATGTTACAAAGATTAAATGGAGGATTTCAGTGACTCATTTATAAATGTTTCCAGGGAATGGCAAGAAATTGGAGGGCTATTTCCCACCAAAGAACAGAGCTCTGGCTATCTGCCCAAAACATATATTCCATCTGCTAAATCTCAGAATGGGCTCTACCATGCATCTTCATCAAGATGAAATAAATAAGAAGACTCATACAGAGAGAAATCTAGTCTGGACAAAGAAGCAGAAATGAGCACATGACAAAAATAAAAGGCTGTTTGGACTATATATGTTTTGGTTTATTTATTATTTGATGACATTTATAAAATGGGAGATTTTATATATAATTTAGAATCTAAGCACTATCTTTAAAAAAAAAAAGTCTAGGCCTTTCCTACATGGCAACAATCAATGGGAGTCCACTTGATACAGAATCCAGACCCCTTATTCTCTTCTTCTATCTAGTTCTGTACAGGAAATACAACTCTTGTATTTCCTGTGAGGCTCTGATGGTTGTTTGAGTTTGAGATTTCATGCATGAATCCTAATGCTACTGTGGGCCCTTGAGAAAATTCCTCAAGCTCTCCAGGCCTATACTTCTTCTCTTATAGAATGTGCATTGAACTTGTGGTCTCTTGAATTTCCTTCTAGTTAAGACCTTCAAAATACTTCTGTGTTTTCTTGATTTGAAATTGATGTGGATGTTGCAAAATCAATCTCTCCGAGCCTGTGGGTGCTATTGCCCCTGTGACTACAATCAGCCATGAAGTCAACCTAACTTATGCCCACTATGTGCAAAATACTGGCAGATGGCAAGATTCTATAGCTAGAAGTCCCTTGAGAGAAATGGATTGCAACTCCTCATTTTGTATATTAGGAAAATTATAACGTGAGCTTCATAATATGGCAGAATCCTGTCACTGTCTGCACGGGGGTGCTGGCCAATAGCCATATATGGAATAGATGAGTGAGAAAAGCCAGAATCCAAACCTAAGTGTTCTGACTCCCAACCAGGTTCTATGCTGCCCCTAAACACGTGTTATTCTAGATATCCTCCAGACCTGGTCTGGTGACCTCCAGAGGTAACCCTACATTCTCTAATTTAATTTTCATTCAGTTTAATAAGATGTGGATATATAGATAGTGACAGAAAAAGGAAGACAGGTAGAAACATGGGTCACTACCAGCACTTTTTTTTTAAAGAAAGGAAGTAGTTTGCAAAACAAGTTCCCTAAGGATTGTCATCCAGATGAACACTTTTAGTGTCTGCAATTTAGCAAAGAAAATCTAGAGAAAGAGAATATTCCAAATAGTAGCCTATTATTTTCTACCAGGAGTCTTCATATCCATTCAGAGGTCCTAAAAGAGTCAATACTTTTAGTGCCCCATGATATAAGACCCATGGTGGGATTTCCTGCAACAGGTGGTGGGGAGTATGCTTTCTTGGAGATGTCACCTGCTCCAGTCATTACTGCTAAATTGATTTGGTACAATGAGATTTTAGGAAAAAAGCCTATTAGAGTCTCTGTGGGAAACTTTTAGGCCCCACTGCTCCCTGGACTCCCTCTGAAAGGCCATTTAATCCATTCAAGTTGCTTCTTAGAGGACTGCATGCCATTTTAACAGGAGACTTCACCATGGAGCTCTTGAAAGCCTGACCCTGCTCCATTAATGGTAGCGCTTCAGCAAATGTGGCCATCTATGCAAGAGACATTTGGGATTGGGTGAGCAACCAACAAGAGGCTTTCCTGAAGACTGATGTGCCAATGCCCTCTCACCCAGGGGTCCCCCAACCCAGGAGACTCACTGACAAGAGCTGTTACGATCTCCTCCATGCTCTCCAGGAAGCTACTGAGGTGCTGGGTGAAGGGCAGATGTGGAGAGGTGACTTGGGCCACAACAGCTGCAGCCTCAGCCCGCGTGGCCTCTGAGTGGCTGTCATCAGACAGGATGTCGGCCAAGCACAGAACACCATCCACCTGCAGATGGAGAGAGGCAGCTTCCTTGTGCATCCTACGAGCACCACTGCTTATGTCCATAGTGAGATAGACTCAGAACCCCCGGACGGCCACTGCTGGACCCAATGTGCAGCCAAGGTGATGCGGCCCCCTGGGTGACCCAATCTCTGACACTTGCAGGTCTTTCCTTGAGTCTAGCAGAGATAAATGCCCTCCCATGAGCTTTGAAGATACAGACAACTAGCCAGGTGTCCAGGGACTTGACATCGAGGGACTGCTGAGCTAACTGTGACAAACTATTGCCCCTTTTTGCTCCAAGTCTCACCTAAACCCTTTGTGAATCCTCTGAGTTCTGGAGCCACTTCTCAGGATGACAGTATAATGTTATACACCACAATAAAATGTAGTAGAAAGAACACTCACCTAGGAATCTCTCATCTCAAAACTCCAATCCTGGTCTCTTCCATGCTGTGTAACTTAGCATTAGTCACTCAACTTCTCTGAGACTATTCCCTCCCTCTTCCACAGGGAGTTGGGAAATTAAAAGAAAAAAAGCAGGCAATACTTATCTAGAAGAGATGTTTGAGAAATTCTGGCTCCTTCCTCTCCTTAACATTTAGCAGCAGGCTGAAATCAATGTGTTCCTTCTCTACCTAGTCCTCTGCCATCTGCCCCATAGAAAGAGAACTGCTTCCATAGAAGCCTTATTCTTTCTGCTCAACCAGAGCAATTAGGTCTGGAGAGACATAATAGGCAGATAAAGACTTCCATTTCTCAGCCCTGCCTCCCTCACCCCTGTCAGACCTGCTCTTGGTATAATAATAGCTTTTGCTTACCAAGTGCTTATGGGGTGCCAGGTTCCACACTAAGTGGAGTGTGTATGTTATTGTACCGGTGATTCCTTGCAATAGCCTGTTGAGATCAGACAAGGAAACTGAGACATAGAAAAGGTTAACTGACTTGCCCCAGACAGTTAAGTCTAAGTCAGTGGTTCAGGAGTTGAACCCAAATGGTCTGGCTTCAAAACCCAGTATTATATAGAAATATATTGGAGGCAAAGTTCAGTGGATGACAACTGAGTAGGTTACTGAAGCTGTAAATTATTTTTAACAGAGAAAATTATATTATTTAAAAAATGGGTTTTGAACAGGACATTGTACTGTCATCCTGAGAAGTGGCACCAGAACTCAGAATTCAGCCTTCACAAAGGGTTTAGGTGAGACTTGGAGCAAAAAGGGGCAATAATTTGTCACAGTTAGCTCAGCAGTGCTACTGCAGTCCCTCAAATGCCCCTGGACACCCGCCTGCCTGAGAATCATGCCTCCAAGCCCCAAAGATCCATTCTCTGATCATGAGTGGGAGGTAGGGATGGGGCAGGGAAAGAGGAGGAGAAGCCTGTGCTGCTGCTCCCCACATCTGCCTCCGCCCTGAGCCTCCTGTCCCTGTCTTCTTACTGCCTGCCACTCAGCTCCAGTGGGTCTCCAGAGGTCTGACTTTTGTTTGACTAATTACCACCACTGAGTTCTGTGCCTCCCTTAAATGGCTCTTGGGAGCTGTAAGGTCCATTAGCTGTGAAAGCCTTTGGCAATCTCAGACTCAGAGGAGACAAATGTGGAAACAGGAGCCCAGGGAACTGTCCGCAATAAAACTCACCTGGATGTGCTTAATAAAAGGGAACAAACAGCAGCCAGCTAGCCCCCAGGAGGACTGGATCCATGCCAGGTACTTGACTAACAGGCCCTTGGAGAAGGGCCTTATTTGGGCCCCAGAGAAGGAAACAGGGGGTACTCTGGGCCTAGAAACAGGAAGCAGCTCCACAGCCAACATAAGAAACCTTTTAATCACCTGGCTCTCATCCCCTTTCCTCCTTCCAGTACAAACCAAGTCTGTTGCTAAGGAGCTATAGCATCTCTAATGGAGACATTTCTCAATTAATACAGTCTCCCTGATCTCATCTTGGTTGCACATGGGGTTGCTATCCTGGTCCCCTGATTCAGTTGGCAATACCAGTCAGACCCAAACTAGCATCCTGTCCTGGTCCCCAGCACATGCTTGGAGATAGACCAATCTGAACCCATCAGAAAGACCAAGGAATCAATGGTCCCCAAGGCCTGGTGCCACCCAAGACCCAGGCACCAAGCTTGCTTCCTAGCCCAGAATGTTGCTCTGAAACTCCCCTGAGCACATATTGTGTGCCAGATCTCGTGCTGTGGCAATAGCAATCTGGGCGAGGAGGTGGGGGATAGCCCTGCAGTGCAGGGGGTGACTCACATCTACAGATAACATCATGAGGCTGTGTGATTTGGTGCACTATAGAGAGGCCTCCTGGAAACCACCCCTAACTTAACACAGCCCACGCTCCGGCAGGGGAGGTGGCCCACATCTGGGCTCCCACGCCCACTACATCTGCTATCGTCATTGCATTTATCACACTGAAGGGCCCTGTTTCTCCAAGTGGGGCTGGTGGCCCAGCTGCATAAAACAAACCACAGATTCCTTAAAAGCAGAATCCTGTCCCAGACCCAGACTTACTCTGCCAGAATCTGGAGGAGGCCTGGGAATCTGCTTGTTAACATGGCCACACTGAACTTTATGCTCCAGCAATTTGGAGAAACACTATTGTGATGTGGGTCTCAGCTCTTGTCTGTCTGGCTCCCCTGTCCCCTTGACAGCCCTGCAAGCCTGAGGACCACAGCTTGTTCGCTTTGGGCTGCTCCAGGCCTGGTATATGTTGGGTTTTCAGTAAATGAGAAACAAATGCAGGGAAGTAAAATCTGACCTAAGACTTAAAGACGCACTGTAGACTTGAAGTCTATCTCCCTGTAGACTAGTAAAAGTTGAGAAATGGAAACGGAGATGGAAGGATATTGAGAGAAAAGGCAGTTAGCAGACAGGACATCAGTGGAGAAATAGCCAACAACAAAACATAAATTCCACAGATGCTCAACCCCAGGAAAATGACCTCAGACTGATGTGGACCTGATTTTTTTGTTGCCCTCTGGTTTCCTAGAGGGCCTGTGGGGTTCTGGTTTTATAATTATCAATTGCCTATTGTCTTGAATTCCTTCTAAATTTGTTAACTATGTGCCAGAGCTCTTCTAGTAGTGTACTATTTATGAAATATATCATCTCTTCAAAATAGTGTCTCTCTCTCTCTCTCTCTCTCTCTCTCTATATATATATATATATATATATATATATATATATATATATATATAAATTTACAAGGGATAACAAATAATAAAATGACCACCTACATATGTATATGTCTATACTTAACCAGAAATTCTAATATTAGCTCTAAAATAAAGAGAGAGCCCCCCCCCCAACCTTTTTTAATCTCTTATCTTCTCTTCTTTCCCCTATTGGATAGGCCATTACCCTGAATTTTGTGTTTATCATTCCCTTATTTTCTTCAGAGTTCTTGAATGTGTATTTTGTTTAGTTTTACAAGATTTTGTAACTGATGCAAGTGGTATCATACTGTATATACCAATTTGCTTTCTTCCCTAGATAGATTGTTTATGAAACTCCTTCCTATCATTGCACACGGCTGTGGTCCATTTATTTTCACTTCTGTACGGTATTTTGCTACATAAATTGATTGCAATTCATTTATTCATTCTTCTGTCAATGGGCACTTGACTGGTTTCCCAGTTTTTGCTACAATTGACAGTGCTTCTAAAAACATTCTTCTAAATGTCTTCTGGTGAATAAGTGCCATTTCCACTAGGGGTCTCAATCTAGGAGTGGAATTCCTAGGGCATAGAATTTACACATCTTTTCTTTATTTTTGCAACATGATCTGAGTAGCAATACTCTCAACAGAAATATATTAAAATTATTTACCACCTTGTCAGTAGTTCTTGGTATTTTCAAGTTTTTTTTTTAATTTTTGGCAATTTAATGGGTATAAAAATTGTATTTTAACCTGTATGTCTCCACTACCAACAAGATTGAGAAACTTTATTTCATTTTGCTTTGCTTTGTCTTGGCTTTTGATTATTACAAGTTGGATTTCCTCTACTATGAATTACCTGTTAGTAAGTTTTGCTCATTTTTCTATTTGGTGGCTTTTCATAGGGGCCAGATTTCCTTGGACTTTGGTTCTGATGCTGCTGACCTGCCACTTAGCCTGCTGCCATCAGTCTGCTGCCAGTCCAAGTTGATCTCTGTATCCACTGGCATCTCAGCAGTTCCAATGCAGCACAACTCACCACAGGGGGAGCCACTGAAGGACCTTACACCCCTGAGCTGTGGGCTTTCCAGCTCCTGAGCCAATTCCTACAGCATCAAGATATGCTCAGACACTGGAGTTAGAATTCTGCCTCTGTCCTCTACTAAATGAATGATTTTATTACCTAATTTGAGCTTCTAAACATTGGGGTAACACCACCAATCTCAAAGGGCTTTTAGTTTTTCTTATAAAATGGAGATAAAAATAGCAACGTCAGAAGGACCATTACAATCATTAATTGAGAGACTGCACATACAATGCCTGCCACATGGTGGTAACATCATCCACCCATCCCCACCTGGCCTTGTCATCGCTACTAGAATTGGCACCCTGAGCCCTAACTCTCCTCACTTCTGTCTGCTCCAGACTCCTTACTGGACTTCTCTTTGACCCTTTCTGCAGATTACTCTTGGACTGAAACTCCACTGAAAAACAGCCTTTTGGGTAGTGTGTTAGTTTTCCATCACTGTGACAAAATACTTGAGAAAATCAACTTAAAAGAAGGCAAGGCTCATTTTGGCTCATGGTTTTAGACCCTGGTTGCTTGACCCTGTTGCTTGGGCCTGTGGTGGCACAGTACATGATGGCGGGAGCACATGGAAGAGGGCCTGCTCCCCTCATAGAAGCCAGGAAGCAAAGAGAGAGAGGAAGAGCTAGGGTCCCAATAATCCCTTCAAGGACACTCTCTCGATGACCTAACTTCCATCCACTAGGCCCCACCTCCAAAGGGTTTCATGACTTCCAATAGCACAATAGGCTAATAAACAAGCTTTGAGCAAGTGAA